CAGAAGATCGAGAGACAACATCTTGTTTCTTCCTTTTCCAAGATATCAATGAATCTCCAAGAAAAACACAATACCCAGTAGTCGACTTACGAGCATAAATATCACTATCACAATTTGCATCACTATAGGCACGCAACTCAAAAAAGGATGTAGATGGAAACACAAGAGTGCGGAACTAAGTACCATGCAGATATCTCAAAGTACGAAAAACAACTCCCCAATGAACAGTAGTAGGAGCAGTGACAAACTGGCTAACCACATCGAAAAACAACTCCCCAATGGGACACCATCAGTTGGAGAGTACTTTGCATTACTCTCTATAGGCGTATCAACTATCCGATTATCCGTGAGTCGTGCGCCTTCAAACAAATCTGAAATATACTTCGTTTGAGATAAAAGATAACCATTTGGAGACTGAGCAACTTTAATCCATAAGAAATTATGTAGCAAACCCAAGTCTTTCATAGCAAAACGGTGAGCCAAATCACGCTTTAAAGACTCTATACCATCATATCATCATCAGTAATAATCATGATTCGTACATCGAACAAATAGAGCTGATTCATGGCTACTTGGTTGAAAACCAAGCAAAGTAATCACTGTAGAAAATTTCTCAAACGAAGTACGAGGCGCTTCCACATAGTGCCTTCCGAAGATAACAAACTTCACCTGGTTGGTGAGCAATACCAGGGGCAGGAGATATGTATACTTCCTCATGAAGATCACTATTTAAGAACACATTCTGGACATCCAACTGATAAATCTTCCATTGGCGAATGGAAGAAACTGCAATCAAAGTGTGAACTGTCATCATATTTGCAACAGGAGCAAACGTCTCCTCATAATCCATACCATACTTTTGTGCATACCATTTCGTAACAAGTTTGGCTTTATAACACGCAAAGGGATCCATCAGAATTTGTTTTGATTTTATATACCCAACGACAACCAATATTGCGCTTTTTGAGCGAAAGCGAAACCAGATCCCATGTATGAGTTTGATAAAGAGCTGCAAGTTCCTCAACCATAGCGGTCTTCCAAAGGGGATCAGAAACGACCTCTTTGTAGGATGTTGGCTCCAAGAGACGATGTACATTAGCAATAAAGGAGGAAAAAAGTGGTGAGTAAGAGGAATAGACAAAGTCAGGAAGCTTTGTGGACTTCTTATTAAGATAAGGCCTCGATGGAGGGGGTCTTGATGATCTGCAGGTAGGGGATCAGTGACAGGTGGTGGATAATCAACAGGTTGTGGATCAGCAACAGGTAGTGGATCAGTGACATGTGGTGGATCATCAATGTAAATGCTAAATGGATCAATAGTACGAAGCTCCTCTCGGGTTGCATCATGTGACTGAACAAGAATGCTATACAACGGAATATGCTCCAAAGAGGTGACATTGCGAGAGACATACAATTTCTAATTTGATGGATCATAGCACCGATAACCTTTTTGACCAATACCATATCCCAGAAAAACACAAAGAGCTTATTTTGAAGACAACTTATATCTCTCTACATGAGGCTTCAAGACAAAATAGGTACACCCAAACACTCGTAATGAAGAATAATCTTGAAGTTGTCCACACAACATTTCATAAGTAGACTTCGCCAAAGTTTACGTAGTAGGAATGCGATTAATAACGTAAGTGGTGGTGTGAACAGCTTCTCCCTAAAACATATTAGGAACTTGAGCAGAAAGTAGTAAGGATCTTGCAGTTTCTAAGAAACACAATTCTAAGAGATGTCAATGTTTTCTTTCTACAACACCATTCTGCTAAGGAGTGTCTGTACAACGTGACAAATGCACAGTGCCATTAGATGCCAATAATTGTTTAAAATCATTGGAGGTAAATTCTCCACCCAAATGACATCGAAAACATTTTATGACAGCCGAGTGTTGAGTCTTGACAAGAACTCTAAATTCACTATATATGGTGAAAAAGTCAGACCTACGCTTCATAAAATAAACCCACGTATAACGAGTGTAATCATCAATGAATGAAACATAATAGTTACCTCCAGATTTAGAGCTGATCGGAGATGGACGCCACACATCAGAGTGCACGATATCAAAGGGAGTAACAGAACGAGTGACACATTTATTAAACGGTAAAGTGGTAAATTTTCACAGTTTACAACCACTACAATTAGAAATATCATCAGTTTTCAAAGAACCTAACACACCAATTGAAACAAAAACTATAAACGATACGCTGACACATGTCCCAAACGAGAATGCCAAAGATAAAAAAATAGACGACGAAGGATTTAAACGAAAAGACGACAAATCGACACTAGATGCAACAAAATCAGCAAAATGTAGTTGTTCTAAAACATAGAGCTCCCCAAGTCTACAACCTATCCCAATCACCCTCTGAGACCGAATGTCATGTACACAACAAAATGAATCAGAAAAGAAGACCCAACAACCAAATTTACACAACTGAATGACCAATGCAAGATTCAAAGCAAGTGTGGGAATGCAATACACATATGTTAAAGATATACAAGGAGTGCAATAAAACTAACACGCTCTACTGACATGGGTGTAACACTAGCAGACATAACAAAGACAGGTGTACGAGAAGATAATGAAGCAAAAGATGACAAATATGATGACACATGATGAGATCCACCAAAATCCAATATTCACTAGGATAAAGGAATACATGACGTGTTGTATGAAGACAGACTTGAATGAGACATGGAAGCTGACATGGCAGTTGGATTAGCAGCAATGAACTGTATGAACTACTCAACAATATGCAGATCCAATGCTGATGGTGGTGTAAAATCTGTTTCATTCTCACTGAAGGTGCAACAACAACATACTATGGTGGCCTAAAAGATGGAAACGAGGGATGTGACTGTCTAGAAGACCTGTTCTAATATGAAGGGTGAGACTGTGCATGTGATCTCGTTTTTTGTTTCCGCTAATTTCCCTTGCTTGCCAGCAAAGGACAATTTTCCTTCTAATGGTTCTTCTTCTTACAGAGTGCACACTCATCAAATGCAACTTTGGGACAATTTTGGTTTGAAGACTAAGGTCGTTGTGGAACAACAAAGACAACAGGAGTGGCTGTCTTGGGACCTTTCTCAGCATAGGACTTGATACGAGTTTCTTCAGCAATCAACTCGGCAACAACCGAATCAACAATGGGAAGAGGTGTGCGATGGAAGATTGATCCATGAAAACCTTCAAAATCTGAACGTAGTGCCATCAAGAACTAAACAAAATGTTTCTCTTCCCTTCTATCAATATAAGGCTTAAAAGCCTTCAACACATTAGATTCTGTAAGAGCCAACTAATCCCACAAATCCGACATAGCTGCATAAAATTCCTGAACACTTAGATTGTACTGTTGCATGGATCGAATATCAAACTCTAACTGATACTTCTATGCAAAGTTAGACTGAGTATACAACCTAGCCAAGTGATCCTAAACCTCCTTTGTTGTGTCATACTTCGTCAACTGAGTACCAACAGAGTGGATAACAAAATTATTAATCCAAGTAATGATCTTGGAGTTATAAGTCTCCCATGAATCCATTAAGGTTGCATAATTATCATCCTTCTCGTCTGTTGGTTTCTTTCTTAATCCCCCATATAGTCTTACCTTACAATAAATTTTTCATAACATAACTCTAATAGGCATAATTCTTGCCATCGAGTTGGATACTAATGGACTGAACAGAATCATCTATCGGGGCCATATTTCCAATATCAGTTAAAGGAGAATAACTGAAACAACAATAAATACGAGTAGCAGCAAAAATAATCAAAATTCAAAATTAACAAAACCAACAAACGAAACGAAACCCTCAAAGTCGACGAAACGAACGAATCAAATCAAACGGAATACAGAAACGACCAAGAAAAGCATACCCAAATTGCGAAAATTTTTAAAAACGTGGCGCGTTGCCCCCATACTCACCACGGAGTTTGATCCATGCAATGTCTTATCTGCTAGAACTCGCCCCAAAAAACGAAAATACAGATGATCAAACTAAACTCTAATACCATGAAAACTATTAAGACATAAAGCGGCTAGGGTTTTATATTATTATCAAATGAGAAGTACAAGATACAATGAAAGGAAAAGACAGAATATATAGACTAGCTAATTAGGTTTCTCTAGCTAATGGGCCAGCATAAGACCCAATACAAAATAAAACCCATAATCTTATTAAGTTAATAGCCACCTCGTCGGATCACCAAAACCTGTGAGTCGCCGTCGTCAGACCACCCTAACCACCTAGTCGCTGACTCACCGAACCACCAAAAATAGGCGGTCTTCTTATCTGTCTCTGTCACTCTTTCTCTCTCCGTCTTTTCCGGTTGGACTACCTAGTCCTTGACTTGCCAGACGACCGATATCAGGCGTTACGCCGGCATAGGGCGGCAACCTCTAGCGGAGGTGGAGATGAAAGAAATATTTAGTTTAACTTGAGAGATAAATAGAAAGAACTTATGGTGAATGCCCCAACGATGTATTTCCGGCTAGCAATGATGGCTCCAACGATATCTTATCCGGCTACAAATGTACGTCCGACCAACAATGGCTCCAACGATGTTTTTTTTTCCGGAAATGTATTTAATTTAGAGTTTATTTTTAGTGAATAAGTTTTTATTTTTGGTTTAGTTTAAAGAGTAAAATTTATAGCAAAGGGTCCTTTATTTTATGTTTTTTTTTTTTTTTTTTTTTTTTTTTTTTTTTTGTGTATAATTGGTCAATTTATCAAATCAATGAAATTCTTCTTTTTAATAAAATTCTTCTTTTCTTGGGAATTTGAACTTGATTGCATGCGAAATATGTGTGCTTAATACTAGAGTGGTGTATAAAACAACAGTGGTGTATGATAAAACTCATTCAACAAAGATTATAACAGTAAATGATACATTTTCTAAAAATTAGGTTGCATAGTTTGACAAGTTGTTTAAATGCCTCAACCAAATGACATATTTTTTTTATTGATGAAGGTCACACTGAACAATCATTTCAAGGTCTGAAAGCAGAGAATGCTATAACGGAGTTGTTTCCACCAAAACCAAATGAATTTGAAATGGCTGCAAAAAAATTCTTTAAATAAGAGAACTTCAAAATCAGGAATCAAATTAAAGAGAAACCGGGACAAACTCACCAACATCAATCTTGTGTGGTTGTTTTATATCTGCGACAGTGTCGAACTCCACTGTAGGATCAAGATTCTATCATTACACCAAAAAAATGTCAAAACTAAAAGAACAAGGAAGGGGAAAATATGAGAAATATAGGTATTACATACAAACTGATTAATTGTAGGATGCAACCAGCCTGTTTGTATTGCTTTAATTGTAGCAATGGCTTCCATACCTCCCGCTGCTCCAAGACAATGTCCGATTATAGACTGAAACATATACAAGAAACTAAATCCTGATATAGAGATGACATTATGGAGATATGGCTAATAACAAGGATATACCTTGGTGGAATTCATTTTAACCCCTGTGGTGGTCTTAAATACCTTCCTGAGAGCGTTTACCTCAGCCAAATCTCCAACCACTGTTGAAGTTGCATGTGCATTTATGTAGTTAACCTACCAACAATATTATTTTAAAGAGTGATTGATTAGTCTTATGAGAAATACCACACTCAAATGTAAAGAACATAAGATGAACATTAACATTAGAAAAACACCCACATATAAAAGGAGAATAGATAATGATATATAAGAGGAGCGTAGAGAGTTTGAAGTGGTCAACAAATTATATGAGTCTACTTATTTCACATTTTCATTCCTAGAAACTATCAACACATGTATTTATGTTTTTATAATAAAAAAAATGTGTTGCATTTATAAATGATTCGTTAATATTAGTATAAATTATATGAAGGGTAATCTTCAGAAATTCCACTATTTTGGTTATTAATTAAAAATAACGTAATATTCAGAAAAATCTCAATATTCTGAATAAGTTAACGAAAAACGACAGAATGCTGATAAAATCTGTGAAACCGACAAAAAAGGGGTATTCCGAAGTTTTGGACGGTAATGTATCATTTTTTGTAAAATAATAATAATAATAATAATAAATAATTTAGAATTAAATCATAAACTAGATGAATTCCCTATACTTTATAGCAATTTTTTGATATTAAAACTTTATCATAGAATTCCCTATACTTTATGTCAATTTTTTGTTAATTAACACTTATAAGGCGTGGATCACACTTACAAAATAAAAAAGGAGATATATTTTTTCTATTTAATGGACGATCAGTATTATTCGAAACATATTTTTAGTCTTAGGTGGGAGAGAAAAAGAGGTTCATCAAAGACGAAACTTAAAAAAATCCGCTAGCTTTTCATAAATAATGCTTCTACCTCTTTTAGATAGAAAATGACAAACACAAATGAAGATCAAATCTGAAAAACAAACAAATCAAATAGTAGTCAAGCAAAACTTGTATTAAAGTAGGTTTGCAACGCCACTTGTTGAATGCAAAACTTTGTGTTTGTTTAAAAAAATAAAGTCCAACACACATGAAAGCGATTATGTTAAAAACAATTTTGTAAGAAAAATATAATATGTAAAAATAGCAAAGTCTATTTAAAATAAAGAATAGAAACAGATATGTGAAAAGGAAAATTTTAAAAAGACTATTAAATTTCAGAAATAAATTCACAAAATTTAATTGTAAAATAAGATATATATAAAAAATTAAAAGAAATCTATAAAAAAATTGTAAAACTAACTTTAAATTTTAAAAACAAAGTTAATAAAAAAATTGAAGAAATTTATGAGAAGGATATGGACGAAATTTGTGAAAAAAAAAATAAAAATTGGTCTAAAAGTGTAACAAAAGAAAAAAGATAAATGAATTGAATTTGTAAATATTTTGAAAAAAAGTTAATTAAATTGAGTTTGTAAATATTTTCTAAAAATAGACCAAATATGTAAAATTAGAAATCTATTAAATCAAAAGCCCAAAATACAAAAAGAGTAGTGGAGGAATCGAATATAGGCCTGTTGTGGGCGCGTTATTGGTGAGGTGGCAATCAAAATGTCGTTGTAAAGAAGACGAGGTGCAACGAGAAATATGATTGGGTATTGGATTATTTAACTATTGAACTCAACGATTTAAAAAAAATATATATATTTTTTACCTATAAATACATATTATCTACTCCAATTCCATTCACACCTTTCTGCTTTTTCTCTATATGGATCCGCTCGACTCGTCCTACAATAACGATGTGGATATGTTCGTCACTATGATGTATTAGTATTGCACTAACGAGCAACTATAAACTGATGTAGCACCTCTACTAACAAGACATGCGATGTTAAATAGAAATCGTGAAGAAGTACACGAACATCTATATTGTGATTACTTTGTGAATAATTGTATCTACGTGTTAAAAGATTTCAAATTAAGATTTCGTTTTGAGTAGGAATGTGTTCCTACGGATAGCCAATGCCTTGGAAAGCAGACAATGTTTCTTTAATTTTAATTAATATATATTTACCATATCTTTAGACAAAACAAATACAAATTTTTACATAATTAATATATGTTTAGGTATAAATTTTTCCAATTGAGATATGATGCTAGATGTAGGAGAGGATTCATAGTGTTGCAAAAATGTGATGTTGCCATTCGTTTGATAGCTACGGGAGAGTCACCCGATACCATAGACAATTATATGAGAATGTCTAAAAGAATCACTAGAGAAAGTTTGAATAATTTGTCAAGAGGTGTTGTGGAAACATTCGGTGACGTTTATTTGTGGAAACCTTCGTTGCATGATATGCAAGTATTATATGTAGAATAATAAAGAAAGACATGGGTTTCTAAGAATGCTAGGGAGCTTTAATTGCACACACTGGAAATGGAAAAATTATCTAATGTCATGGAAAGGACAGTATACAAGTGGTCATCATGGAGAGACTTTGTTGGTCTTAAAGGCTATACTTCCCAGGATTTATGGATTTAGCATGTTTTTTTGGGGGTTGTGGGTTCCAACAACGCTGTAAGGATGGAATACCTTACGGATGGAACATATCATTCGTATTCCGCATTCCTGAAGGCATTCCGACACTCAGTGGAACCAAGAGAAACAATATTCAGGAGAAGACAAGAAGAATCATGTAAGAATGTGGAACGTGCTTTTGGAGTTATAAAGTCGAAGTGACACATAGTTGAACATGTGGCACGACCATTAGACTTAGAAACTCTACGACATATTATGTATGCATGTATCATAATGCATAAGATGGTAGTAGAAGATAAATGACATAATATTATACACTATATCCCAACAGAGCCCAGACACATTCAATTTCAAATAAGAACAACAAAATATTTGTACATAGTCGTTAGTATTCAAGACGCACAAAACCACATGCAATTTCTAGAAGACTTGGCAGATTATATCTACGATGGTAACGATGATGATGAATAGTGTTACTTAGGGAAAAATATGTATTTTTTTCTTGTAATATATTTTTTTTTAAATTTAGATGTTATGTTTAATTTAAACATTATGTTTAATGTTCTTAAACATTATATATATATATATATATATATATATATATATATATATATATATATATATATAT